AATGTTAATCAAGTTTATATGTAAAATTTTTTATTAGAACAATGTGGGATTGGAAATGAGTTTGGAGAAAAATGAATTTCTATAGAATGAGATAAATAGAAACTTCATTTCTTGAGTATTTCTAAATAAAAAAAATCCCCCCGACAAAAAAAAAATTGGTGAATTCACCGCCAAATTAACTTGTAATACATTTTTCACTTTCTTATTTTTAATTACACATTTCAAAAATAATAATATTACACGTAGATTCAAAATTTAATGGAGTCCAAACATAACAAGATCGTCTGTTATTTTCAATTATCGAGATTTAAGGTTCAAACCATGAGAACTCTTTGGCATTTTTTATAGGGCAATTAGCACATAACGTTTTTACCTTTCACTATTATTGTGTAAAACGTTCTTACCTTTTATTTTTTTTGACATTTTCACCCGTAATTACACATTTGATTGCGCAAAACATCATTTTCATCAAATTTCTCAATAAAAAATTCAAACGAGTCCCAAACAAATTATTCAAAAATTAGAAATATAAAAAAAAAAAAAAATTCTCTTTGCACCAGTTTGCAGCATCTCCCTAATTCTAGGTCTTCTTGATTCATCCAGGCCATGGTCCGTCACCCAAAAAGCACTCCATCTATTGAAATAAAAAGGTCTACCATCCACTATGAACTGAGTCACATTCCTCTTTACAAAACTCAAATTAGTTCTTCCATGGAAACTGATCCATAAATCCCAAATGACATTTCGTTTGTACATATTTTTTTCTTTTGTTTGCTCGGGTATGTTCGGAATAGTTATATGTCCTACATGATTGTTGTTTCGTCCAGAAATTAGGGCTGCAAGCAAAAATCGCCAAACCGAAAAATCGAATCGAAACCGCATTTTAGAAACCATCGGTTTGGTGCCACATGGACCCGTCAATGAAATGGTTTTGAACCAAAACAAACCGGTCAAAAAGGGTTTGGTTTAGGTTTGAGAATTTTAGTTGCGGTTAAAACCAAATCGGATAGACGAAAAAATATATAAAAACAAAAAAATAAAAAAATCGAATTTTTTGTGTGTGGGTATTTTTGTCAATTTCTAATTTTTTACGACACGCCGAAATCTCAACCCGCCACGCTATCCTAATATTTTTTTTAAAATGAACTCCCCACAACCACTGCCCTAATCTCTAAC